TTTAGAGTATTTACTTTCGTTTATAATTATTAATACAAAGATCGAACACTGAGAAAAAATTGCTTCGATCCGGCTAGATTCGAACCGGTTCTTCACTCACCAGTGAATGAATTTTCTTCACTGACTTTCATGGATTTCTAACAGATGGCGCTCCACGAATGACAAAGGACAATGGCAAACCTCCATATAAATTTTTGTTGACATAGTTTGTATGCGTCTGTTTGTGAAAAATATGTGAATATATAAGAATTGAAATTCCTGAATAAATTTCGTTTTGGGTTTACTTTTCTGAGAAGTCAGGAATTAAAGATATTCTACAAGTTTTGGGGGTTATGTGTTACGTAATTCTGTAAAATATATTCGATGTATTATTATATCAAAATAAACTACAGAAACCTTAAACAGAGTTAATAGAACCTGAATGGTGCCGTGGGTTTGTGACGTGATGAACGTTCAGAGGAAATTATTTTGTATACTGGTATGGTCAAAAGACATGAAGTTAAGCCATAACAAAAAAACTGAGTTAATTAATAACATACCACAGACTATGGCACTGGTAATTCGGACATAAATAATTTTTTTGCGAAACATGCCATCTATCCCTGATTTTGGAAACTCTTTAAGCAAATTAATTTACTCTCATTTTTATTAACTTATTTTAGGTTTTACGCTTCACATCTTGAGCTTGTACTTGTTGTTTGTTTGTTGTTGTTTTTATCAATGACGTATGTTAATGTATAAAAACAATAGGCTACGACGATTAGTGGAGAACGTTCTCTTTTAAAACAGTAAAAGCGCTTTGCTCAGTTACGGTAAAAATGTTCAAATTCGACAGGTGGCATATGCAATGTATCTACACTTATGGAATGCAAAAGATAAATAAAAATAATTTAAAAATTTAAAATTGTTATATACGACATGCTGAAGTATTCGACATTTTTCTTATAAATACGTATGAAGATATTAGTATTTGACATTTTTTTGGGATCTAAATTGCAATAACAAACACTGATATCTTTGAAAAAAGAAACCGTTCGGCTACTAGGGTCATTACAATACAATCATAAAAGGACAAACAGTAATTAGGCTTTCTAGAATATCTTTTAATTATATTATTATTGAATTCTTGAACATAGGTCTGTGTAAATGTTATATATAATTAAATACGTGAAACAGTGTTATACTTGTAGATATGGCACCTTAATAAAATTGTTTTTTATGGTGTATAAAATTACATTATGACGAGGAGAAGGACCCGAGGTAACCTCCACCTACAGACGTTTTGTGATAGTACGAAGTGAATAAATAATGACGGATAGTCCTTAAATCATATGGAACAAATATTAATAACAATTTAAAAAATAAATATGAAGCTAAGATACTCAAGATATTATTTTAAAACCTACACGTTTGTTAGAGTGCGGAACTTTCGTGACGGGCAGTTTGCGATGATACCACAACGTAAATGCGTGCTTTGTGCTTAACTGTTTGAATAGTGCTTTGGCTAGTGTGATCTATCAACAAACTATGTAAAAAAAATTAGCGTAAAATCTCGCGGTCTTTTTGCCCTGGACTCTGTACTCAACTACTCAACGACTAAGTATATTTTTATATATAAAGAATATACTGTGATTTGGCAACTAGAAAGCAGAATAATAATGTACGTGGCTACCTAACTTATAGATAAATAGTTTATTTTTCGTATTAACTTGAATTTTATCCTATCCCCATGTGCAATCGACTAATAGACAATGGCACACGTATCTGCAGTTTGTTCTTTTAAGTGGGTGGCGCTACAGTGACATAAATAAGCAAGCTTGATATACATTCCACTTCAGGACTCGACAGTGCTTTAAGGAGAACGATTAGGGCTATAATTCACAGAGTCATTGGCCGAATGCAGGTGAATGGGTTTCACACTTTTGTAGTTGTTTTTTATTACTTAGGTTTAACCGCAAAGTTTTTTAATTAATTAATAAGATCGTTCAAATTAATTATTGTTATGCGAAAAAAGATTTTACAGTACATTACTGCAGAGGCCGGGAAGTAAGGGATTGCGGGACGAGTGAGTTACAAGCAATCCCCGTTCCGGCCAAGGCGTGTATAGTACTTTTCTCAAATCAAATCAATGCGAGGAAATAATAAAAGACTAAAGAGAGGGAGATGTGTAATAAAAAAAGTAAAAAACAAAATTAATGAATATTAAAAGTATAACATTGTATAAATATATTGTGATTTTCTATGTTCTTTGTGGTGATATTCGTGATCTCATCCCTAAAATAACAGCAACCAGAAACAAACAAAGGTTTGTTATAATTATTAATACAAAGATCGAACACTCAGAAAAAATTCCTTCGATCCGGTCGGATTCGAACCGACGTCTTCTTGCATACCGTGCCAGACGCTATACCAACTAAGCCACGGAACGAACCAACGAACCTCACGAATTTTTCTATGTGCTTGCGTCGTGTCTTTGTACTTGGTCTTTCAACGACTTTTTAGTCGTAGCGCCATCTATGAGAAATCTTTAACAGATTGATCACCCAGTTAAGTCGGTCACCTGGAGCCACGTAAATATTTCAACATGTTTTCTGCAGTAAATATTTTTGAATTTTTAGTTTTGTAACTAGCAGATTAGCGCTTCAGTAGGGACTTCAAGGAACTGTATTCCAATGATGACGCTGTGTTTACATTATGTTTACATGTGTTTGTACATTAAATTTGAGTATGGAATAAGTGGCCCATATTGTTGATGGCTTTTGAGTTTTAGCAAGTTCGCTAAAATAAGCTACACACACAGTCCATGAAAACGAATTAGCATTTTTTTCGCTTCTCCGTTGCATGAACGTTTCATAAGTTTTCATGTATCTAACTTTGCTCATAGCCGGCAACAAGTTTTCCATCGCTAATATTGCCTCGTTTTAATTTAGGACTACAATCCATTACTGCAATTTGTACTGCAATCCATTACCGCCCGTCTCACTCATTTTCAAAACGAAAATACAAAAAAAAGGAAAAACAGAAAAGACTACCAAAGCACTTTATTTTATGCATTTTTCTGTTTTTTTCAGAAGTATGCGGTATACGTAGGTATTTTTAATTCTCGCAATTGCTAACACTTTGACAGTTGGCTGTATGAGTCTTTCCTTTGCCTGTTTACATAGTTCATCTGGATTTAAAAGTTTAGAAAAGTTTACAGTAAGCGCCCAATTACACGAGGCGAAAAATTACGCGCGGCCGCCGCACGGCGACCGCCCAGTTAGCACGCCTTCATGTATGATAATGGCGAATCTGGATTCTATTTACTAGGCAAAAACATTTAAATTCCTCTAAATAACATAACGTGCGAATATGTTAGAATTTATTCAAAAATATTTAAAAAAGTATGTGTAGCTGCTAAGGTTAAGTTTCACAGCGACAAAATTAGACAATCGATAAATAAATCTAAAACTACTTGGAGCATAATAAATAAAGAGTCAGGCAGGGTTAAACAACACGATAGAGACATGGTTTTAGAATTAGACAGCAAACTTATAAAATCTAAAGATAAAGTAGCCCAAGCTTTTGAATCGTTATTTTCGGAAATTGCTGTAACACTACAGAATCATTAAATTCCTCCCCTTCACTTGCTATTGATCTCCTA